GGGCGCGTGTGCTCGCCAGACAGACAGAGACAGAGAGACAGAAAGCGAGAAATCACCCCCCGGGGGGATGGTCACACCGCAATCCCTTCTCCTCCATTCTCCTCTCGGGATCTTGGGCACGCACGCACACGCGCCTAGCATGAGTTTTAAGCCACCGGGTCCGGGACACGAACCGCGGTCGACTACGTGGGAGTCCAGCGACATAGCCATTACGCTAACTGCTGGTCCCAGAGAATTTTTTTTTAAAGAATTATTTTTGGGGACCAGCAGGTGGCATGGTGGTTGGGCCGCTGGATTCCCACAGGGCTGACTGTGGTTTGACTGTCTGTCTGGTGAGCGCACGCGCCCTATAGCAAAAACCTCTCTCAGAAAAAAAAAAGAAAAAAATCCCCTGAATGAATGAATGACTATGAATAAAGGAAATGATAAACCCTTCCAGATAAGAATCGTAATTTCCATTTAACTGATGGAGACACCGAGGCTTAAGAACGTGAAGGAACTAAGTTATTAGAAAGAAAACAAGAGGGGCCGGCAAGTGGCAGTGGTTACGGGTGCTGGACTCCCACATGGTAAACAGAGTTCGAGTCCCAGACCTGGCAGCCTGCTTTCTCACTTTCCCTCTCTCTCCTCTCTCTCTCTTTCTGTCCCTCTCTGATCAAAATAAAAAAATAAATCAATGAAATAATAAAGTAATTTTTTTGGAGTGGTTTTTGCTATAGGGCGCGTGCGCTCTCCAGACAGACAGAGAGAGACAGAGAGACAGAAAACGAGAAATCACCCCCCAGGGGGATGGCCATGCCGCAATCCCTTCTCCTCCATTCTCCTCTCGGGATCTTGGGCATGCACGCACATGTGCCCGGCGTGAGTTTAAGCCACCAGGTCCGGGACTGGAACCAAGGTCGACTACATGGGAGTCTAGCAACCTAGCCATTATGCTAACTGCTGGTCCCCAATGAAATAATAAAGTAATTCTTTAAAAAAATTTTTTTTAAAGAAAGAAAGTAGGAGAACAGGAGGTGGCTGAGATGCATAGCTAACTAAGCAGGAGAGGATGAACCTTGGCCCTTAGATAGCAGAAGAGACCCAGTGGGGCCAAGAGCCGTTTGGCATTCGGACATGGCTACCCTGCGTGTATTCTCTAGGCCTTTCTTACTGGACCCCTGCCCACGCATCCTTGGAAACTCTCCCCACCCCTCTTTAGGTGGAAAGAGGGAAGAGGGCAGCGGGGGGGCCCCAGCCACTTCCTGCTGGGTTCTTGCACACCCCACAACTTCCTGTGTCTGGAGGGCTGATGCTCTGGAGGCAGACAAAACCCAAGCATCCGGCCTCCTGGCTGGGCCAAGCTCAGGGCGGGGGGAACCATGTACCTGGGGGCTCTGGCTCCGGCTCTGGCTCCAGCGGTGGGTTCTTAGGTCTCCCCCAGAGGGTCTTGGAGAGCCGGAGGCGACTGGTACGTGATTCCTTGGGGGGTGCCGAGAGGACCCGACGGAACAGCGAGCGAGGAGCAGACTGGTTGCTGACCGAGGGCTCCTGGTGGCTCAGCGCTCTCCCCCAGCCTGCAAAGCGGCCCCAGCGGAACCCTCCGGCCCCCTTCTCCCCACCGGCCCCCATGTGCCAACGGTAGGTAGTCAGTGGAGAGGGGGCCGCAGGCTGGGCTTGGGAACCTTGGCTTGGTGATGGAAGGTCCATGTCGGGGGCTCTCCTGGAGAAAGAGAAGGTGGCCGCTGTGTTCGGTGTCCACCCACACACTGCCCTTCTCTCGGCCTCCGCCCCACTCAATTCTGCCTCCAAGAAACCCCCCTTGGGGGGACACATGCAACGCCTTTTCTTACCTTGGTTTCCTGCCCAGCCTCAGAACCAACAGCCGTCTGCACCCTGCCTGGCTTCCTCTGAACCCAAATCCACGTGACCCGGTCTTGTCCCACCCCACCCCGCAGCCAGGATGGGAGGGTGCAGTGGGGCAGGATGCCAGGGAGGGGGGTTGTAGAGAAGAGGTGGCAGAGCTGGCTTCTAACAAGAAGGACCCAGGATCCCTCACTGATCAAGAGGCAAAGCTTACCCCTGTCTCAAAGCTTTATTGCCATGGGATCAGCAAGTGGCGTGGTAGTGAAGGCGCTGGACGCTCTCACACGGCCAACTAGGGTTCAAGTCTCAGACTTGGTGGCTTGCTTTCTCACTTTCCCTCTCTCTCTCTCTGGTCAAATGAAAATAAATAAATAATTATTTCTTTTTTTTTGAGAGTTTTTTTTTTTTTTTCACTATAGG